CCCCGAGCAATAGAGAGAAAAATGTCCTAGTAAAAGAACTAATAGAAACATTTTAATTGGCAAAAAAAAACAAAAAAAGGTTAACAAAGAAAAAAACCAAAAAAAAAAGGCGTAGTCTTTCCAAAATTAAATTTGGGGCAATAAAAAAAACAAAAATCCCTATGGCATGTCCCCCCCTCTTGAGGAATTCCTTTTTTCCGACGAATCAAGGAAGGTACCAAAAGTAAATGCGGGGACAGTGTGGGGGGTGGGGAGGCAAATTTGGCGGGTCAATGTTTTTTTGCAAATCGAAGCAGGTTTTTTTAACTTTTCAACTTCAACACATTTTTTAAAAGGTCCTCCATCAGGTGGGGTACAACGCCCGTTTCCTCGGGGGGCAACACGGTGCACGAGCTCCGTGGGTTGCCCCAAATGTGGGGTCCGTGGTAATGTGGGGTTGTGTGTGGAAAAGTAAAGGGCCCAGGATCAACGCAGGAAGAGGAAGGAAATATCGACCTTAAATACCGTTAGACCCGTTTCGTTAGGCAGCTACTACATAGTGGTCAAATTTACAACTCTGGTGAGGTTATGAATGGAAAAGAAGAAAACCACAGGAGAAAAACATACCGCGACCTCTAGGCAAGGCTAACGGCCGCCAGAATTCTCCTCCACACAGTGGGACCGTGAAACTTCGATCAGTATGTGTCAAAAAATGATGTACTGTCAACACGTTCGGTGTCTCCAATTTTCGACTTTCCCGTTCAGAGGCACTTGCAAGTGAACGTGCAGCTTGGATGCCCTGAACTCACCTAAGTCTGTCATACTTGGATCAAGAGAACTCTGCAACGCTTATGGCTTGCTATGTTCTAATGAACGCGGGATATCACTTCACAACAGATTTATCACGTGATGCACTTGATAGAGGTCCGAAGGGTAATTTTCCACTGTTCTGTATACGACTTGTCCGGCCGGACGATGTGCTGAAAAGTCGTTCTTTGTTAAGCTTATGCTTTTGTTTATCGCTTAGGCCAGCTGGGAGGAGTCAAGATTAAACCAACGACGTGATGAAAAATAATCAGCGGATACCTATGTAAAATAATGCGGTATATCTCTAGACCACTTTCTCGCGAGGTGCTTCATCGGCTGATGCAGTTCTCATCGTCCTGGACAAAACACCGCACGGAGTTCTCGTCTTATCACCCACCTCGTCACTGTTATAAAAGAACATGATTGTCGCTTTCAGTTGCATTCAGTGGAATTCAATGTGTCTGTCCCCGCTGCAAGGTTTTCAACGTCTCTACATTAAGGTAAATGTATCATGGATTTTATAGGATAGATGCGTAGGCTTACACGGGCTCTGAGCAGTATTTACGGTGTGGTCTGTCCGGTTGACGCCGCGGTTCCATGGGCGAAGGTGCCGACGTTTCGGTCGCCATTCTGCGTCCTTCCTCAGGACGTAATGCCTACCCCGTCGCATACCCCATCGTCACCCGGACAGCCAAGTAAATAATATTTATAGGATGCAGACTTAATGTAATAACCCGCATATCGTGACAAAATCGAAAGAGATTTGGTCCGGTCAATTAGGCAAACCTAGTGAAAAATTTTCCCGGAGTTTTAGAACTTGGCTTTATTTTTAGTTGGTACCTACCACACGTTATACTAAAATCCTGAAGTATGGGGTTTGAGCTGGAGTTGCAGGTCCATTTAAAGTTTTTTTTTCTACGTTTTTACACATGTACCTCCATGACTGTCAGTCCTATCGAAACTTATCCTTTACACAAAATTAAAATAGACAAAGTGTCCTTCACAAATGTCTGATAAGATTTTGTTACAAAATTAAACATTTCAAAGCTACAGGCTCGAAACGTTCTTGTTTTTATTTACAAGACCCCTTTTTGTGGATATCTCCCTTATAAAAATGACGTTTTGATACATTCAGTGTATGGAAGTAATTTTATTTTGGTTCACAATTAATCAATAATACATATTCGAATATTTTAGGCAAAAACATCATTTCACAACTCAACTTATCAAATCTAATTTTTGTACATACTTCCGTGCATCAGAGGTTATTGGATCAAAGAGAACCTCAGATACGAAAATCGACAAACCATAGTGTATTTGATAAGGATCACGTACATGTATATAGTAAATGGTTTATTACAGTGTCAACATGTAAATTACATAAACAATATGCGAGTACAAATATCATTAATGGAATAATCACTTTTACTACGTACGTAGGACAACTAACACAGTGTGTCAATGGCGAATGATTGAGTTAGTGATTCCGGGCGTGTCAATTACAAAGCTAATTTGCCCCGTAAGTGTATTGTATATTTTGTTTCCTCGGAAGATGGATGTGATTTTCCCCGCCGAATGGTAAGATCCAGCGCCGACCTACTGTGAGGGTAGCGAGGCAGGGGGCCTTAGGTTCGAGCCCCGACGGGGCAGGATTTTCGACACTAGTGCGAAAGCTAGGTCGAATTCAGCCGCTGTCTGGAGGAGAATTCCAGCGGACGGCTGCACTGACGGGTAGTTTTCCGAGATTTCTCCGAACAACATCAAGAGAATGCCGGAGCAGTACCCTGGAAACGGGTCACTGACCACGCGCGACCTTTCCTTCCCATTCCTTGTTCTATCCTCATCTCTTTCACACACACACTAACAAGCACTACACTTCCGGCAGGTCGGTCGGGAACTTAGAGCTTGTCCCGCCTGAGCGGTGCCCCGCTGATAGGAGATACGTGGTTGGGGAAAACACTGCTACCCAATTTATGTCGGCGCCGGATCTCGGCATCCACCGGAAGAGGATCAACGCAACCCTTCCGAGAAAAAACATATACTACACTTAAGGAACTAATGACTTTAGTACGGGATCACTAATAATCTATCAATCTATCTATCTTTCTGTCTATCTTTCTATTTATTTATCTATCTATCTATCTGTCTGTCTGTCTGTCTGTCTGTCTATCTGTCTATCTGTCTGTCTGTCTGTCTATCTGTCTGTCTATCTATCTATCTGTCTATCTGTCTGTCTGTCTGTCTGTCTATCTATCTATTTATCTAGTGTAGAAAATCCCGTCGGAACCCTAGGTCAGTCAGAGGAGAGCTCGCCTCGTCCACCAAAAAACTCCCCAATGGCTCGCCCGAGGATCGAACCCAGGCCACATCTATCTATCACATTCCGCAGGCCATGGAGTCGCACGTGGCGGAGTGGCTGCAGATGGCGCTGCGGCTGGCGGAGGCGGCGGCGCGACGGCAGTGCTCCCTGGCGGCGCCCAGCGCCTTGGGTGAGGGCCTCTGCAACATGGCGGAGAACGGGCGGCTGCACGAAGTGCGACGCCTCCTCGACGCCGGCGCCGACGTCAACTACACCAGCGTCGAAGGGTGAGCACGAACCATCATCTGCGTTTTACACGCGATGGCAAGCCATGGGTGAGGTACCGCGCATCGTAATCGACTTCAGCCAATGAGCTTCATGCACCGGTTTGCGTCACAATATTAGCGGGAATTTTAAATGCAGCCAGCTATCTCAATTTGTTCCGACAAAACGATTTTGCACCCAAAACCCTACCACTGTCCTTATTCCTTCCCAATTCCGGCCGCTGGGTTGTGATGCAGGTGCGTGTGTGGGAGGCGCGTTCGCGGCGGTCCTCTTGCGGTCCTACCTGGCGGTCCTCTTCACAATGACGTGCGGACCATAAGACTTAATATATTAAGTAACGGAGGATTACTTCTAAATTAAGACTGCTGTATAAAGTTATTAAGTAGTAGTAGTAGTAGTAGTAGTAGTAGTAGTAGTAGTAGTAGTAGTAGTAGTAGTAGTGGTAGTGGTAGTGGTAGTGGTAGTGGTAGTGGTAGTGGTAGTAATGGTAGTGGTAGTGGTAGTAATGGTAGTGGTAGAAGGATAGTGTTTTATTTTACTTTTTCGAGTCCCTGGCATCCCCTTGATTTATAAGACATTTAACTTAAACTATCTCACCTGATATTCGCCAAAATCCATCGTACAAAGATATCTGAATTTTACGTCATTTTCTCCATGAAACGCGATAGAGCTGCCATACGCCGGTATAACGTATTTGATGATGGTGTGATGGTGCTAGTTATAGCTTCTGTGCTATGGTGTTAATACTGTTCTGCTGGTGTGTGGAGTTAACATGCTCTGTGGTGTTTATATTTGGAGCAGGATGCCAAAAAGAAAAGCCTTATTTAATGGTATACTTAAAAAGTTCAATGCAAAATTGTAATTGTTGAGGGAGATTTATTATCCACCAAATACGTCTGGTATAAAAGTGGAAAGGACTGTAATGATAATGAAATCCGCCTATTGTGTGATCGTAAAAAAGATTATGATTGGAGTATTTACTTTGTCAGTAGTCAGTATTTTCTCTTTAAGGAAAATAAATTATTATAGTAATATATTTTAATTGAAGTGTCCTTTTTCTAATAAGAAATATCTTGTTTTTTTCATAATTAAAGGGTTGTAACCTACACAAACTGCATGTCTATCTCGACCGCCACTGATTGAAGTACAATTGCCTTCCGTAGGTACACTCCACTGATATCGGCGTGCCTGTTTTCCTTCGCCTGCCCTGAACCGAATCCGGACGTAGTGTCGTTGCTGTTGGCCAGAGGAGCTGACGTCACACTCATCGCTGCCGACGGCATGTCGGTGCTGCACCCGGCTGCTCTCCACGACAGCAGAGCCCGCTCTTTAGTTCTGCTTATCGACGCGGGAGCGCGCGTAAACGCCAGGGACGGCCACGGGCAAACTCCGTTGCACTACGCGGCGGCCCACAATCAACAGGAGGGCGTGCGCGCCCTGCTATCTGCCGGCGCCGACAAGAACCTCACGCCTTGGAGTGGAGACTGGGAGGACATGAAGCCGTACGATGTTGCCAACGCAGACGTCGTCAGGGAACTTCTTCGCCCATGAATTGATTAAGGAGGTTTTGCCCGGCGAAACTTTACACTATCGATATTCATCCCATAAGCTGTTGGGGTTTCGTCTCACATTTGTGAATCTGTGCAGAAGATCGAGATTGCGACTGATTGCTATACTGTGAATAATACTTCTGTCGACTTGACAGCTGGGAGTAGGGAGAGCAATGTTGCCACTTACTCGGGTGGCAGACACTTGGTCGTTCTTGCGTCCGTTGTCGAGACATACACATCCAACTTATTGTAGTAGAATTGTAAAAATGACACTAGTTTATTTTATGAAGTACTGATACACAAATTTATCGCAGTCCCTTACACGAATCCCGACAATAACACGGATTAACGGATAGTTTTTGCATAACACGCACAAATCTGATGAAAAGTACAGTGAGACGCGTTTTTAGAAGTAAGATACTTAGTATTATGAAAGATTTATAAGAGAAATGTATCTAAACTCGAGGCATTCTTGACTTGAGTACATACTTTTCACGAAACGTTCACAATTACAAACAATTGCAGTATTATTTGAAGTTAATGTCTTTACCTGTAATTTACGTACGTTTTCAAGGATGTGCTCTTCCGAATACATTAGCATAAACATAAAAATTAGAAATGGCTTTAAAGGTGGATGAACATATACATTGTGTCAGTATATCCGCAGCGGCCCCCTGATCTCCTCCCTCCCACTTTCTCCTTCTCAGCGGAGCCACCTCATCCTCTCCTTCCACTCGTGGCATTGTTTTTTTCGGTCATCCCAGGAGAGAACGAATGGAAACCTCCTTCAAAGCAACCTCCACTGGCCCTCCAGCGCCCCCACTTTCCCTGCTCTGCGAGGACCGATCTCATCCTTTCTTCATCCACGCCGAGTATTGGCTTGTCTGGAGAGGAACGAAACGTGTTCCCGCAACCCCACCTGCCCTCGAGCCACCTCCAACTTTCTCTTCTCTCTGAAGTAGGACCTCACCCTTTCCTCAACCACTTGGCAGCGGCTCATCCGCCGGAGAACGAACTGAACCATTTCTCGCAGCGCCCCTGATCTCCTCCCTCCGCACTTTCTCCTCTCACGGAGCACCTCATCCTCTCTCACTCGTGGCATTGGGTCATCCAGGAGAGACGATGAAACCTTCTTCAAGCAAACTTCACCTTGCCTCCGTCCAGCGCCCCCACTTTCCCTGCTCTGCGAGTACGATCTCATCCTTTCTTCATCCACGCGAGGTATTGGCTTGTCCTGATGAGAGGAACCGAAACTGTTCCCGCAACCCCACCTGCCTCGAGCCACCTCCACTTTCTCTTCTCTCTTAAGTAGGACCTCACCCTTCCTCAAACACTTGGCGCGCTCATCAGCCGAGAACGAAACTGAACCATTCCTCGCAGGCGCCCCGCTGATCTCCTCCCTTCCCGCCACTTTCTCCTCTCACGGAGCACCTCATCCTCTCCTCCACTCGTCGGCATTGGTCATCGCAGGAGAGTAAGAAAGGAACCGCCTTCACGCAACCTCACCTGCCCTCCAGCGCCACCACGTTCCCTGCTCTGCGTAGGACGATCCATCCTTTCTTCATCACGCGGAGTATTAGGCTTGTCCTGTGAGGATGAACCGAACGTGTTCCCGCAACCCCACCTGCCCTCAGCCACCTCACTTTCTCTTCTCTCTAAGTAGACCTCACCCTTCCTCAACACTTAGGCAGTGGGCTCATCCAGCCCGAAACGAACTGAACCATTTTCCTCGCCAGCGCCCCTGATCTCCTCCTCCGCCACTTCTCCTCTCACGGAGCTCCTCGATCTCTCTCCACTCGTGGCGTGGGTCATGCCAGGAGATAAGAAGGAACGCCTCACGCAACCTCACCGCCCTCCAGCGCCACACTTTCCCGCTCTTCGAGACGATCGCATCCTTTCTGATTATCACGCGAAGTATTGGGTTGTCCTGGGAGGAACCGAAACGTGTTCCCGCAACCCCACCTGCCCTCGAGGCCACCTCACTTTCCTTCTCTCTAAGTAGGACTCACCCTTCCTCAACACTTGGCATGGCTCATCCATCAGAGAACGAACTGTTCACCATTTCCTCCGCAAGCGCCCCTTGATCTCCTCCCTCCGCACTTCTCCTCTCACGGCGACCACATCTCTCATCCACTCGTGGCATTGGGTCGATCCAGGAGAGAACGAATGGACTCTTCAATCACCTCACCTGCCCCTCCGCAAGCGCCCCACTTTCCCTGCTCTGCGAGGACGATCTCACCATTTCTTCATCCACGCGAGTTATTGGGCTGTGTCCTGGAGAGAACCGAAACGTGTTTCCCGCAACCCCACCTGCCCTCGAACCACCCCCACTTTCTCTTCTCTCTAGTACGACTTCACCCTTTACTTCAACACTTGGCAGCGCCTCATTCCAGCCGAGAACGAACTGAACCATTTCTCGCAGCGCCCCCTGATCTCCTCCCTTCCGCAACTTTCTCCTCTCACGGAGCACCTCATCCTCTCCTCCACTCGTTGCATTGGGGTCATCCAGGAAAGAACGAATGGAAACCTCCTTTCAATCAACCCTCACCTGCCCTCCAGCGCCCCCACTTTCCCTGCTCTTGCGAGGACGATCTCCATTCCTTTCTTCATCCACGCGGAGTTATTGGCTGTCCTGGAGAGGGAACGAACGTGTTCCCGCAACCCCACCTGCCTCGAACCACCCCACTCTCTTTCCTCTCTAAGTACGACTTCACCCTTTCCTCAACAACTTGGGCAGCGGCTCATCCAGCGTAGAACGAACTGAACCATTGTCCTAGCAGCGCCCCCTGATCTCCTCCCTCCGCACTTTGTCCTCTCACGGAGCTCCTCATCCCTCTCCTCCACTCGTGCATTGGGTCATCCAGGCGAGAGTAAGAAAAGGAACCCGCCTTCACGCAACCCTCACCTTGCCCTCCAGCGCCACCACTGTTCCCTGCTCTGCGAGGACGCAATCGCCATCCTTCTTCATCCACGCGAAGTATTGTTCTTGTCCGGAGAGGACCGAAACGTGTTCCCGCAACCCCAGCCTCTGCCCTCCGAGGCCACCTCACTTTCTCCTCTCTCTAAGTAGCGGACCTTCAACCCTTTCCTCAACATCTTGGCAGTGGCTCATCCACCAGAGAACGAACTGAACCAATTTGCCTCGCAGCCGGCCCCTGATCTCCTTCCCTCGCACTTTTCTCCTGCTCGACGGCGGACCGACATACTCTCTCCCTCAACTGCCGCTGCCATGCGGTTCATCCAGGAGAGAACGGAATGCGAACCTCCTTCAATCAACCATCACCCTGCCCTCCAGCGCCCCCACTTTCCCTGCTCTGCGCGAGACGATCTCATCCTTTCTTGCATCCACGCCGGTTATTGGCTTGGTCCGGAGAGGAACCGAACGTGTTTCCCGCAACCCCACCTGCCCTCCGAACCACCCCCACTTCTCTTCTCTCTAAGTACGAACTTCACCCTTTACTCAACACTTGGCAGCGGCTTTCAGTCCAGCCGGAGAACGAACTGAACCATTTCCTCGAAACCCCCCCTGATCTCCTCGCCTCCGCCACATTATACATACATTCAACGAGCTAACCGTCAGTCCTCCTCCTCCCTCGTTGCATTGGGTCATCAGGAAAGAACGAATGGAACCTCCTCAAATCAACTTCACCTGCCCATCCAGCCCCCCACTTTCCCTGCTCTGCGAGGACGATTTCATCCTTTCTTCATCCACGCAAGGTATTGGCTTGTCCGTGGAGAGGAGAACTGAAATGTGTTCCCGCCAACCCCACCTTGCCTCGAACCCAACTCACTTTCTTCTTCTCTCTAAGTAGCACCTCACCTTTGCCTTCAACCTTGGCCAGTTGCTCATCCAGCGAGAACGAAACTGAACCATTCCTCGCTTGAGAAATTACCAAACCGGGTATTAGTATACAAATGTGAACCAGACAGTTATGTTTTGTACGAAACAGATTGATACACCACACTTGTCAAATTAAGTAGATTATGTTGTTATGTGATTTTAAACATTTAACTTTTTTTTAGATGGATAAATAACAAAATTTTAATAAATTTGTAGTAAGAACAAATTAATAGTTTTTGTTTTAGATAAATTAAATATGAACAAATGTTAGTAATTGTATGTTTCTTAATAACAGATTTATAAATTACATTCTGAAAATGACTACAAATTAAAGTATTTAAAGGCAAGTTCTGTTAACAAAACTAAATTTTTTTAGCAGTGCTCATAATTTGATCAAACAGAAACATTCCAAATTGATAAAATATTATCTCACCACATCACTCTTTTTAGCCAATTTTTTTGCGGTATAGAATAACTCATACATAACTTTTTTTATATATTTTTTTGAAAAAATTAGAAGTAAATAATTTTTTAAGAACTATTTGGGGCCCCAGGCTCTTCAGGTCCATGCCTTCATATGGCACTGACTTATGCTCCGAGGATATCAACAAGCTGGAAAAATACTGCTAGTAGTGGCTGCCCGAAGTTATGGCCTATTGGAATAACTCTATTTGAAAAAATCTTATAACCAACATTGGTGCAAGCTGGCCTTACACATTTTGATTTTGTTATGCTATCCCACTTATAATTTCTGATTTTTTCAAATGGAATATGAGCACTTTTCGGTAGCAAAAAGTTAAAAAGAATATTTAAGTTCTTTTGATGTGACCAAATTAAATTTAAGCCGATAGTACCTTAATGATATCATCATGATTTCATTTTTACAGGGAAGTTCATTTGTTTCATTGAATCTGGCAGATATGTTTTTATTTTATTTAAATTTCCAAGTGATAGAAATTTCAACTATGGCTTTGACTCATATTACACATGTAACTGAACTGATAAATAATATATCACATCTGCAATCTGCATTCTAGTTTTTACATTTCTCTTAAACTGTGTATTAAACAGAAAAAAATTAAGTTTAATTTATTTCTTTACATTTTGCCTCTAGTTGTGGACTTCACATAAATGAA